ACATCTCCTCTCCTAAGACTTAAGAGGACATTCTGTCATTATCAGTGTCAAAGATCAACAAATCAGACACTAGTTAGAGTGTTAAGGGAAGATTTAACCAGAGATATACTACTGCAACGAGACTTCCCTGATGGCTGAGTCATAAAGAGTCTGCCTGCAATGTAGGAGATGTGGGTTCAGTCTGTGGGTTCGGGAAGATCCCCTGGAGTAGGAAATGACAACCCACTCCAGTATTCTTGCCTGGAGAATCCCATGGACAGAGGAACCTGGCGGGCTACAGTCCATGGGGCTGCAAGAGTTGGACATGACTTAGCAACTAAGCCACCATCCACTGCAATAGGTAAGAAGATCCAGAGTGAACTGCACTTTATTTGTTCAAAGGTGACTTGATGTTTTAATGTTTTAAAGGGAGAGTAAGATTATTTTCTTAATTTCTCTAATATTTCATTGTTAGTGTATAGAAATACAAGAAATTTTTGTATACTTATTTTGGATCCTACAACTTTACCAAACTCATTGATGAGCTCTAGTAGTTTTCTGGTGGCATCTTTAGGATTTTCTATGTATAGCATCATGTCATCTGTCAACAGTGACAGCGTTACTTTCCCTTCCAATTCTAATCAGGCCCTCTGAGCATTCTTCAACTAAGCCTCAGTCTTGGCCTCTAAAAACTGCAAACTTTCAGCACAAATGACTTCATCTGCCCACCTCTCTTTACCCCACCCACATTTGAAGGCTTGAATAACACTAACCTGATTTCTTTTTTTAAAATTTAACTATCTATTTATTGATTTTGCCACATTGGATCTTGGTTGTCACACGGAGGATCTTCAGTTGCAGTATATGGGATTTAGTTCCCGGAAAGTGAAGGTCACTCAGTTGTGTCCGACTCTTTGTGACCCCATGGACTATACAGTCCATGGAATTCTCCAGGTCAGAATACTGGAGTGGGTAGCCTTTTCCTTCTCCAGGGGATCTTCCCAACCCAGGAATCGAACCCAGGTCATGGCAGGTGGATTCTTTACCTACTGAGCTATCAGGGACACCCCTAGTTCCCCAACCAGGGATCAAACCGATACCCCCATGCTCCGTGTATTAGGAGCACAGAGTCTTAGCCACTGGACCACCAGGGAAGTCCCGACACTAATTTGATTTCTAACAGCTCAAGGCCACAGCCCTAAGATGACTCTCTTCACCTTAAAGCACTTGCCTAAAAAACCTCACACCTAAAAAGAATTTAGTGTTTGTTCTACCCAAAACCTGATGACAGGTCCTGACCTGACCTTACAGAACATTTCCTAAAAAGGGCCTACAATTGTGAATGCTTCCTCTGTCCCTTTGAGATATATATGTGTGTGTGTGTGTATATATATATATATATATATATATATCTCCTACAACTCAGGAGTGTCTTTCTCAAGGACCTGGAAGCCACTCCTTTGAAATGCAGTCCTCAGAAAGGGGAGGCCCCCATCTCAGTCTGTGGGGGGATACCATCCTAACTTGATAATTACCATCTAACAAACACAGAGACCTGATCACTGAACTGTGTCCCCCGAAGTTCATGTTTTGAAGTTTTAAACCCAAGCGCCTCAGAATGTGACTGTTTATAGATGACTAAAGTTTTAAGAGATGATTAAAGTTAAACGAAGTCTTTGAAAAGTGTTAGTCACTCAGTCATGTCTGACTCTTTGTGACCCCATGGACTGTGGACTATAGCCAGCCAGGCTCCTCTGTGCATGGGATTTTGCAGGCAAGAATACTGGAGTGGGTTGCCATTTCCTCCTCTGGGGATCTTCCTGACCCAGGGATCAAACCCAGGTTACCTGAATTGCAGGTGAAGTCTAGGGTGACCCTAATCCAATAGGCCTAAAGCCTTTTTTTCTTGTTTTCTTTTTTTGCCACACCCTATAGCATGTGGGACCTTAGTTTCCCCAATCAGGGATCAAACCCATGCCCCCTGAATTGGGAGTGCAGAGTCTTAACCACTGGACTGCCAGAAAAGTCCCTAATGTGGCTAAAGCCTTTACTAGAAGAGAATAATTGGACGCAGACATGCGAAGACACAGGAGAAGCCAGCTGTCTACAAGCCACAGAGGAGAGGCCTCAGGAGAAACTAGCCCTTTCAACACCTGACCTTGGACTTCCAGCCTCCAGAACTACAGAAAAAATAAGCTTCTGTTGTTTAAATCTATGTGTGGTACTTTATTATAGCAGTCCTAGCAGACTAATGTAGATGGTCCTTTTTATAAAAAAAAAAAAACACAAAACACAAACCTGTATAACACCAAAGATTAAGAACTAATTGACAAGGCCAACCAAGACAGCTCTGGTCCTCCTCACTCCCCGCCTTGGTTCTTTAGGTGATGCCATAGTATAAACTAGTTGAGGCATCCCCATTATATTAACCATTCCTCAGCTCTTATTCCTTCTGCCCATTCAGCTGGTCTCATATAGATGTTATTTTCCCCTCTCTCTTACTGAACTGCACTCTGAAAATGACTGCCCTCTGGTTAAAGCTGAACTATGACCTGGTGCTTACTTCTCCAAGACAACACTTCTAGCACCCCCTTCCTTTGTGGGCATTCTTCATTCCAGAAAGAAGGTCATGAAACGACAACCTTGAGGATCACCAGACCCTATTCCGGAGCCACCTGATGCTGGCCCTAATGATCTCAGCCGGCATCTGAGGAAAAAAGACGGCAAGACCACATCAGCTCTGATCCTTGTCCTCCACCCTGAAACTATAAGACCCCTTCCTCATTCCCAGAAAGGAGGGCATGGTCTTGCAGGCATTAGCCTGCTGGGACCCTCTTGCCAGGCAAACTGATAAAGTTTCTCTTTTCTGCACCTCCAAAGCCCTTTCTCCATGCTTCTGTCTGGCACCAGGGAACAGAGCCCAGGTTTTTAGCAACGATGACACAGTTCTCCCCTGTCTCCTGTTTGGGTCACGGCTCATCAGTTTTGTCCTCACAGCCTCCCCATCTCGATGGTAGCCTCATCCTGGACACAGTCTTCCATGTCTGTCTGCTGCAGGAGAATCACTAAAGGAGCCCAGGGAACGTGGCCTAAGCAGAGCCTGGACCCTTAAGTCTGGGTCACTTTACCAGAGGGCATTACCTGGTATGGGCCACACTGTGGCCCACAGGCTGTCAGCTGCAAAAGGAAGTGGAGCCCTGCCTCAATGTTTATCACCTGTTTGAACTCAGGCAAACTACTGAACCTCTCTGAGCTTCAGTTTCCCACCTATCCAATGAAGAACACAGGCCTCCCAGAGCTATCAAGAGGATTAAATAAAATCACGTAATTATTTAAAATACATGAAAGTGGCCAGGGACTTCCCTGGTGGTCCCGTCATGAAAACTTCACACTTCCAATGCAGAGTGCACGGGTTTGATCCATGGTCGGGGAGCTATGATCTCACATGCCACCAGGCGCAGCCACAAGTAAATAAAAATAAATAAAATAAAAATGCCGGGTACAGGATGTGTTCCTAGCATATGGCCTGCTACATCTCAACTATTAACAAAATTGAAAGCAGGGCACTGTTGTTTGCAGTTCAGCTAGGCCCCTTCTCTTTTGATCCTAGCACTGGTCTCAGAAAACTTAAATGGTTTGATTGTGAGAAATACAGATCCCCTCCCCTTTAATGGATTCCGGGAATGGGCGTTTTGATAGCCCGCCTCCTCCAAGGTGACCTGTGCAGGTCCTCCAGGAAGGCAGGTCTGAGGTGCAGGACGACGGTCCTGCAGGCACAGATACTGCCCCCCCCCCCCCTTTTAGTTCCCACATTGTACAGCATGTGTGATCTTAGCTTCTCAACCAGGGGTCGAACCCACTCTCCCTGCATCCTTGCATTGGGAGGGCAGAGTCTTAGCCCCTGGGCCACAGGGGAAGTCCCAAGACTGCTTCCTACCTCCTGCTCTTCCGACTGTTTTTGCTTGCGAGCCTCCTACTGCACATCTTCGTCCCCTCGGGGTGACCCTGACAGCAACAACAGATCATTCTTGGCTGTAGGAGGTGTTTCTGAAACTGTGGGGGACAAAACTTTTACACTAGGATTTCCTGGGCTAATCCCCAGGCTCTTTCCCAAGCCCCATGAATCAAAACCTCTGGAAGCCTGAGCTTGTTCCACAAGCTCCCTGGGCAATTCTGAAGTTACAGGTGCCATCACAACTCCACAAGCAAGGTCAGCAGCTGGTGGTGCGCGTCTGTGTGTGACGGTGAAGGTGCGGCAGGGCGGCCACTGGGTGAGAACTCACTGTGAGCCCGGCCCTTGCATGCTGTGTGTTTCCTAGGGCTGCTGTAACATGTCACCACGGACACAGTGGCTTAAAACGGCACACATGTAAGCAAGCAGAGTGGTACAGTGGAAGCGTGCTGGGCCCACAGCCTAGAGCTTGATGGACTAAAGCCATCCTCCGCTATTAGGTTTTTGCACTTCGTTCCTTTTTCCTAAACTTTCTTCCAGCTAGGCTACAAGCATAAAAACCAAATCAATTTCTGGATCTTTCAAATGTGGTATAGATATACAATAGATGTTCAGCTCAGTTCAGTTCAGTCGCTAAGTCGTGTCCAACTCTTGGCGACCCCATGTATCGCAGCACGCCAGGCCTCCCTGTCTATCACCAACTCCCAGAGTTTACTCAAACTCATGCCCATCGAGTCAGTGATGCCATCCAGCCATCTCATCCTCTGTCATCCCCTTCTCCTCCTGCCCCCAATCCCTCCCAGCATCAGGGTCTTTTCCAATGAGTCAACTCTTCACATGAGGTGGCCAAAGTATTGGAGTTTCAGCTTCAACATCAGTCCTTCCAACGAACATTACTCAGCCACAAAAAAGAATGAAATAATGTCATTTGAAGCAACATGGGTACACCTACAGATTATCATGCTAAGTGAAGTAAGAGAAAGAAGTATCATATGACATCACTTATATGTGGAATCTATAAAAATGATACAAATTAACTTATTTAAAAATGGAAACAGGTCGGGCGGAGTCCGTCATGGCGCAGCTCTCTGAGCCGAGGCGGTGCGGGGTTCTCCTCGCCCTGCTGGCATCGCTGCTCCTCTCCGGGGCTGGGGCGGCCGACGAAGAACGTGGCGTCCACGATTTTTGCCACCTTCCCAAGAAAGTGGGAAGATGCCGGGCCTCCTTCCCTCGGTGGTGGTACAATGTCACTGACGGATCCTGCCAGCAGTTTGTGTATGGAGGCTGTGACAGGAATGACAATAATTACATGACCAAGGAGAAGTGTCTTGCTAAGTGTGCTGGTGTCACAGAGAACAACATCGATGAGCAGATCAGGGATAAAGCAGATTCTTCCGTCCCAAGTGTTCCTAGAAGGCAGGATTCTGATGACCTCTCCGATGATATTTTCAGCTATGAAGAACACTGCATTGCCAAGGCTGTCACTGGGCCTTGCTGAGCAGCCTTTCCGCGCTCGTACTTTAATGCCGAGAAGAACTCTTGTGATAACTTCATCTACGGAGGATGCCGGGGCAATAAAAACAACTACCGCTCTGAGGAGTGCATGCAGCAATGCTTCGGCAAGCAGTTGTAACCTGCCCTGCCCTTCGGCAGTAAAGTGGTGGTCCTGGTGGGGCTGTTCGTGATGGTCCTGATCCTCTTGCTGGGAGCCTCTGTGGTCTGCCTGATCAAGTTGGCGCGGAGGAACCAGGAGCGCACCCTCCGCACCGTCTGGAGCTCTGGGGATGACAAGGAGCAGCTGGTGAAGAACTCTTACGTCCTGTGAACCCCCGTTGCCAAGGGGCTGCCCCCTTCCACCCCCTGTTGATGAAGAGAATCTGGAAAGGGAGGGGAGACGAGTGTTGAACGCATGTGTGCTTTTTCAAATAGAGTGATTGATTTGTATTTGCGAGATCATTAGGGCTTTTGGTCTGTTTGTTCTTCCACAAGGTGAGAGGGCTGCTCCCTGGCCCCCCAGATGGGTTTGCTTTAGAAGTCCTCTTAGTGAAGGGCTGTGCACAGTGCAGGTGGTCTGGCCTCCATCCGAGTCGGTTCTTCTTCGATTTCTTTCTTTGCTCCAGGTGTAGATTTCTTTGCTTATGTTGAATCCTGTTGCCTCCTTTCCCATCACAGAAGTGATGTTTTCAGAGTTTGTTTGTTGTTGTATTTTTTTAAGTAAGCAGAAACATGTTTTTTTTTTAATTAGGATTCTGAAAGGAAGAAGGTAAAATGTACAAGTTTAATAAAAAGGGGCCTTTCCATTTAAAAAAAAAAATGGAAACAGACTCACAGACTTAGAAAACAAGCTTATGATTTGAGGAAAGTTTGAGGACAGAAAAAAATTAGGAGTTTAGAGCTAACATGTACACAGTACTATATGTAACAGAGAAAAATAACCAACAAGGACCTACTAAATAGCACCCGTAAGTCTACTCAATATTCTGTAATAGCTTAAATGGGAAAGGAATCTGTAAAAGAATAGATATGGTTTTATGTATAATTAAATCACTCTGTTGTATACGTGAAACTAACATAGTACATCAACTATATTCCAATTTAAAGAAAACATGTTTTAAAAAGACAAATGCTCTATGACATCAGCAAGGTGGGGATAAATAAACATAGATGTCTTCTGAGTAGAGAGGCAGAAAATAAGAACAGGGATATCCAAGCTTCACTGCAGAGAAAAATAAAAAATAGAACACTCTGTCATGTAGATGTAATTTAATTACAATATGTAGGTTGTAATAAAATATGTCATTGTTGTTTAGTTGTTAAGTTGTGTCCCACTCTTTTGCGACTCCAAAGACTATAGCTCACCAGGCTCCTCTGTCCATGGGATTTCTCAGGCAAGAATACTGGAGTGGGTTGTTATTTCCTTCTCCAGGGGATCTTCCCAACCCAGAGATAGAACCCATGTCTCCTGTGTCTCCTGCACTGTGGGCAGATTCTTTACCACTGAACCACCTGGAAAGTTCAGAAGTTCAGTTGTTCAGTCATGTTCGACCCCACGGACAGCAGGCTTCCCTGTCCATCACCAACTCCAAGCTTGCTCAAACTTATGTCCATCGAGTCACTGATGCCATCCAACCATCTCATCCTCTGTCATCCTCTTCTCCTCCTGCCCTCAATCTTTCCCAGCATCAGGGTCTTTTCCAATGAGTCAGTTCTTCGCATCAGGTGGCCAAAGTATTAGAGTTTCAGCTTCAGCATCAGTCCTTCCAATGAATATTTAGGACTGATTTCCTTTAGGATGGACTGGTTTGATTTCCTTACAGTCTAAGGGACTCTCAAGAGTCTTCTCCAACACCACAATTCAAAAGCAACAATTCTTCAATGCTCAGCTTTCTTCATAGTCCAACTCTCACATCCATACATGACTACTGGAAAAACCATAGCTTTGACTAGACGTACCTTTGTTGGCAAAGTAATGTCTCTGCTTTTTAATATGCTGTATAGGTTGGTCATAGCTTTTCTTCCAAGGAGCAAGCATCTTTTAATTTCAAGGTTGCAGTCACCATCTGCAGTGATTTTGGAGCCCAAAAAATAAAGTCTGTCACTGTTTCCATTGTTTTCCCATCTATTTGCCATGAAGTGTGGGACCGGATGCCACAATCTTAGTTTTCTGAATGTTGAGTTTTAAGCCAACTTTTTCACTNGAATTTCATCACCTCCACTAACTTTGTTCATAGTGATGCTTTCTAAGGCCCACTTGACTTCACTTTCCAGGATGTCTGGCTCTAGGTGAGCAATCACACCATCGTGATTATCTGGCTCGTGAAGATCTTTTTTGTACAGTTCTTCTGTGTCTTCTTGCCACCTCTTCTTAATATCTTCTGCTTCTGTTAGGTCCATACCATTTCTGTCCTTTATTATACTCATCTTTGCATGAAATGTTCCCTTTGTGTCTCTAATTTTCTTGAAGAGATCTCTAGTCTTTCCCATTCTGTTGTTTTCCTCTATTTCTTTGCATTGATCACTGAGGAAGACTGTCTTATCTCTCCTTGCTATTCTTTGGAACTCTGCATTCAGATAGGAATGTCTTTCAGTTTCTTCTTTGCCTTTAGCTTCTCTTCGTTTCTCAGCAATTTTAAGGCCTCCTTAGACAGCCATTTTGCCTTTTTGCATTTCATTTTCTTGAGGATAGTTTCAATCACTGCTTCCTGTAGAATGTCATGAAGCCACCTGGGAAGCACTGTAATAAAATAGAATTCTAAAAAAGTAGTGAAAGCAGACTTTTCTATTCTAATCAAAGGGTAGGAAGGGCTTCCAAATTTGAATATTTTAACCTCTAAACAGAAGTTAGTTTTCATTTAGGGTTTTTCTCATTTCTAAAAATTCTGTGGATTATAATTTAAATCTATAACAAAATAATCTAGAAAATGGCTTGATTTTATATTTACATATGTAATTTTTTTATAGAATTGATGAAGTTCCCTGTAACTCAGATGGTAAAGAATCTGCTTGCAATGCAGGCGACCTGGGTTTGATCCCTGGGTCAGGAAGATCCTCTGGAGAAGGGGATGGCCACCCACTCTAGTATTCTTGCCTGAAGAATCCCATGGACAGAGGAGCCTGGTGGGCTACATTCCGTGGGCTCACAAAGAATCGGACACAACTGAGCGACTAAACACACAGCACACATATAACTGATATTTCAAGAAATTAGGACAGTTCCTCAAACTTGGTAGGAATGGAATTTATTCTAAGTTCTGAGTTTCTGTACTTAGATGGGGTTGCATTTACAAATCAGCTATTAACACACTCTTATTAGCAGCCTCAGATTACTTTTATCTGGACCCAAACTCAGTCCAAAATCCTAAAATCTACTCATCATCCTAATCCCCCATCTTCATTCAGGCCCCACAATCCTGGAAGAATCAGGAAGAAAAACAGTGAAGAGTAAATAGATCTTCAGTCACAAAGCTCAATGGGGAAAAGCTAGTGTAAGACAACTGAGGAGATGCAGTGAATAAAGCACTATAGAAAAGGTTATTTTGAATCTTTGTATCAATAGGAGTCAGGGCTGGATGGGTAGCAGACATTTATCAAAGATATGAAAGCAATCTGTTAATTACTTGATATTTGCTTTTGTGCATCATTTTGTTCCTAAAGCTGAACTCAAAGTTCCCAACACACTCATTTACTGCCATTTTCCATTGTGCTTTTTTTTTTAATACTGTTTGAATCTACAGAAAAAATTTAACCTTGCTTCAAACTAATCACAAAAATAAGATCTAGCTGAAATAAAGTTCTAAGTGTAAAAAATAAAAACTCCCACAAAACTATTGCTTTCTACTTTTAGTTTTATAGCAGATTACAAACCCTAATAACCCTTTTGTATAAAACACCTATAATTATCTATTTTTTAAAAATTTAAAATCCAACATACTATTAAATGCATAGCTGGCCTGGCAAAAAGGTAAAAGAAAACTTTCAAATACCAAAAATTATGGAAATCATGAATTCAGAAATGTGAGCAAGGCTATAGAAGCAGTTACTGTTCAAGGAAACTTTGGGAGCCTGGAGTTTCCATTTAATAGTTTGGTTGAGCAGAAAGGAGATGCAATCTAGCGCCTATACAGGTTGTTAAGTCTACCATCTGGAAACCTTCATTATATGGGACCCTGAAAGCCACATTTCATTGAGTAATCTGGGGTGGGGGGGTGGACATCCCCTTTGGATTTTTCCCTTTCTCTCTTAAGGAGATAGTAAGGAAACATCTCTCTTGACTTCAACTCTGGGTGATGGGGAGCCAAATATATTTAAGAATTTGCACTTCACCCTCAGACAGATTTAGGGCCAGAATGTAAACTGTCTGAGAGTCCTGAGAACACCAAACTGATCATTTAAAAACATCCCTGATTGCTCGTATATCAGGTGTCTGCAAAAGCAAACATGACTATTTGCTCAAGGAATGCCCCTCAGACTCAAGTCAGAGAAGTGTCACAGGTGGGTTCCACCGGGCACAGTCTCATAATGACAATTTATAAAACACAAGAGGAAACAAGCCAAAATAGCAGGATTTAGGAGGAAGAGGAGAGAAACAGTCACAAAAGACTGAAGATACTGGAAAAGAAAGTAAATATTTTAATATGTTTGCAGAAATAAAAGGGAGATAGTGAAGGACAGGAAAGTCTGGTGTGCGGCAGTCCATGGGGTCACAAAGAGTCAGACACAGCTAAACAACAAGAAATAAAAGGAGGTGCAAGAAGTATGACTTTGGATTATCAAATAAGAAAGAATTTTTCACGCTTACAAGCAATAACTTGGATCTGCTACAATCTGTACAATTTACAGTCAGTACTCATCTTAACAATTAGTTCCTAGAAAACTAGAGAGCATCCACTCAGTTGGCTACAAAGACACGCTGAGATCTGGCCACAAAGTTTTATTTAATGCTTAGACCAATATAACATTTTATATGCAATCATCTTGGCAAACAACCTCATGTGAACAACCTAATTCTGCATTAAAAATCCTTCCTCCAAGATCCTCATGGAATCTGTTATTTGACTGTCGACTACACATACCATAAAATTTTGCCAAGGCTCCATTTTGTTGCTCCTTTGTTTTTAACATTTTTGGAGGTCCAACATAGATCACCCAGAGCTTGCCCCTCAATTCTGGACCGGGGGACATTTTGGCAACCTGAAAAAGTCTGCGTGTCTGTCTCTCGACCTTCTCACCTGAGAGGCCACTAATAACCAGAGTCCGAGTTGCCGCAGTGATTGGGAACTGCTGAGTTACCACCTGTCAGGGCCCCCACAAGTGGCCATGAGGTTGTTGAAGCTGAATGGTGTGTAGATGAGAGTTCATCATATGCTGCTTCTACTTTTGTATGCATATGGAAATTTCCATTAAAGACTAAAAAATAGGTTCTGCTATATCTACAGAACACTTCTCTCAACAATAGCAAACTGTACATTCTTCCCAAATGCATATGAAATATTCTCCAGGATAGAGTGTATGTTATACCATTAGATAGACCTTAATAAACTTAAAATGACTGAATTAAATTAGTATGTCCTCTGACCAAAATGGAATTAAATTAGAAATCAGTAACAGAAAGTAAGTTGGGAAACTCACATATATGTGAAAATTAAATAACACAGTCCTAACTAACCAATAGACCAAAGGAGAAATAAAAACAAAAATTTAAAAATATTTTGAGATGAATGAAAATGGAGATACAACAACCAAAATTTATGCAGCTAAGGCAATGCCTATAGGAAAATATGTAGCTGTAAATGTCTATATAAACAAAGAACACCT